GATGCTGTTAATTTACAAAAGGATTTAGATCATTTAGTGGGTTGGGCAAATAAATGGCAGATGGGTTTTAATTATAATAAATACAAGATAATACATGAAAGTTATCATAATTTGAATTTTTATATATATAATTTGGATAGGAATAACCTTAGTGTTATGAAGGAGAGGGATCTTGGTGTAACAGTCAATCTCTAAAGCCATCCAAGCAGTGTGCTGTTGCTAGTGGTAGGGCAAATAGGATTTTAAGTTTCTTCTACAGAAATATTGAATACAAGTCTAAATAAGTTATAATTTCATTGTACAGGTCACTGGTTAGGCCACATTTAGAATATTGTGTTCAGTCTTGGGCTCCTTATCTTAGGAAGGACACTGAATTGTTGGAAGTGGTTCAAAAAAGGGTAACTAGAATGGTGCCTGAGATGGAAGGGGTGGGGGTCATATGCTGAGAAGCTGAAATCTCTCAAATTGTTTTCTATTCAAAAAAAGAAGTTTCAGGGGTGGGGAGATGATTTGATTGAGGTGTTTAAGATTGTAAAGGGAATTGATAGTGTTGATGTATCTTTTTTTTTTATATATATTTAACAATGATAATCGTAGGACCAGGGGATAAAAATTTTAGCAAGGTAGGAGTCATCTTCAGCTAAGACAGTTTTATTTTTCTAACAGGGTGGTTGGCCTTTGGAATGGGTTGCCTTCAGATGTTGTAGAGGCAGTAAATTCAAGTGAGTTTAAGAAAAAGCTTGTTGTTATGTATGGAACCCCTTTTATTTCAGATGTCATAGAGATCTATCATAATATTTAAAAATAGGCCAGGGATACACAAAAAGGCTAAAGGCTCCATTTGAGGTATTGGAGTAAAGAAGACACTTTCATGAGATGTAAACAAAACTACGGTTTTAGGGGAAAGGAATAGAAATGCACGTTTGATGACGAGATAAAATAGTAAGAAGGCTAAAATTCGAATGCTCAACAGGGCCAATTAGATTAGTTATTGATATTCTAGTCGACCCAAGGATCTCCTAGCTGGTCAGGTCCGACTAAACGACGGGATTTCAGACACTGAAGCATACATTTTATGTGGCACACACCAGGAGCTGAATGTTACATATTTGACAACAGGTCAAGGTGGATATGAGCAGTTGTTTGGTAGATATTGTCTGCTGTATAATATTCTTTGCTTTTTCCAAATCCTACTTGGTCTTTGCAAGCTCTGCATGGACCTGGCAGAGCTTAGCAGGACTGGCTGGACTCATCCCAACCTTTTCTCTTGTCATCTTTCCGTTAGCTTATGGTCAAGGCTTCCATCCACTTGGCTGTTTGAACCTAGCAGTGTTGTTTTTATGTAGTGATTAGTAACTTGTAGATGATGAAGTTAACATTGTTCAACAGTGATTGTTGTCAGAAACTTTGGTTAGGTAAGCTATTGTTGAAGCTATTTGGCTGTTGCTGTCATTGAAAAATATATGGATTCTCTGATGTTAACATATGCTGTGATTTTGATCGTTGAAGCTGGCTCCGATAGAACAGATACTATGGAAGTAGGGGATAAAGAATGACTTCCTAGGTTTTTTTTCTGCTTTCTGTTAGATCTCAACTCTTGGAAAGTCATTCTATCTTTTACATGTGATCCATCTGAGGGTGCATGCAGATGTGGTTTTTACAGGTTACATTTTACATTATGATGGGTATTTCTTGTGTGTGATTTATCTATTTTTCTTCTCTGGAATTTCAGTCTTGATGGCTGGAGTTAGCTACACTGGTTGTGCAGAAAGCAGCCTTGATTCTACTGATATGTTAGGAAGAGATGGTGGTCGCCTGACCAAGAGTGGCACTACCTTCAAATTCAGCAGCTTCAAGTCTAGAGTGACAATTACTGACATTTACAGTGGAATTATTTCTAGGACCGCAAAACTAATTTATAGGCGGATTCCACGAGATCACGCATGTCATATAAGCTGGGCAACAACTAATCTTCTTCTATTTGCTGTGCATCAGTACTAGTGACGATACTAGTGTAATTCTCGATACTCTTCTAAATGACTAAATGAAACTTTCAGTTTTCATTCTAGAAAGACAAAGTTGGGTAGTCAAGCAATTGAAATAAACTAAGTGTAATCCTTGGCACTTCCAACTGAAAACAAGATAAGCAAAAAGTCAATAATTTGCTCTGATATAAAAAGAGTCGCAATTGAAAATACTTGGTAAATTTGAACTCTGATTTGTCAGAAGTTCAGTTAGAAGTGTAATTTTTCACAGTTGTAATGGTTTGGTTAAAATTTTCATGTTCTTTAAAAGCAAATACGAATTGCTCTTGTCAAGTGCCTTATCAACAGGCATGAATATAGACGTGTCTACATTGCCCGTGGAGA